GTTGTAGAAGATTTTCGCCATGGGTTTGATCCCTAAGATGTATGTAAGCTTCCATAGTGTTGGGTTTGTTCAACCACACGCCAATCATGTTATTTTCAGCGCAATTTCGTTCTTAAAGTTGAAGGATTAAAGTTTTTGATGAGTTCTAGATAGGTGTTCTTGAAGTTCATTCTAAATCTTGTTGTGTTGGGTTTTGGATGATTATTGAGATCAAAGTGACTGTTTTAAGGGATGTATTGATTAGATTAGAGTGTACTTATGTTAAGTAATCAATTCTAAGTGATTGGAGAACAAACCGTTCGATTCTAGGCGAGTTAGAGTGCGAAACGAGCAAACAAAATTCGTCGATTTTCTGGGTTGGAGACTGGCGCGATGCGCCAGCCAGAGCACCCCAAACCCACCTCTGAAGTTTAAGGGCTGGCGCCCCGTGCCACCCATAGAGCCAGGGTCACCTGCCCCATCCAGTTTGTCGTCGGTTGCCCCGTTTGAGTTCGTTTAAAGTGCACCTTCACTCCTTTTCAATTCTAACTAATCTAAGCTACTTCTAAACACCTAAAATCATTCCTAACATGATTATAACCTTGAATTCATAATTCAAATTCAAGGTAGAGTTGAGAGTTAAGTTTTTGAGAATTCTTTCGAACATTCTAAGAAAGTACCCTTTGAGTCCTTTTGTGGAGTCTTCTACAACTTCTAGTAACTTGTTTCTAAGACTCGAGTAAGTGAGCATGAGAGTGAGAATGTATTCATGAGTCTATTTTGTCATCATGAGATCTTTCATAGCATGAACCATAACTCTTGAATTCATAAATTCACATTCAAGAGAGAGTTAAGAGTAGAGTTCAAGAAAGCCATTGAGTTCAATTGTGAACCCTTTGAGATCAACCATCGATTTGAACTAAGTCTTGAGGTAGTAAGTAAGAGAATGAGAAAGTGTCGTATACTTGAGTTCCTTATTGATATTTTGACCCTTGAGTCGGGTCGTTCATGCCCATAACTTCCGCATGAACTTCATCAGTTGAGTTCTTTTGAGAGGAGTAGTATCTTCAAGTTCTAAGTCTTGAGTTTTGAGTTTCTAATCCCCTCTGAGATTATAGTTCTAATCATGGGACTATTACATGTTGCCCATGAGGTCCTTGAGTTGAATTGTTCATACCCACAATTCCGCATGAACTCTATAAGTCGAATAATCTTGAGATGAGAAGTATAATTGAGTCCTTGAGTTGAGTAGTTCATGCGCATAATTCCACATGAACCCTCTGAGTTGAGCATTCTTGAAATGAGTAGTATCATTGCAGTTCTTGAGTTCCAAGTATTTCAGTTCTATCTTTGGTTATTGAAAACCTTGCATTGAGTCGTTCATGTCCATAATTCGGCATGAACCATATTTTAAGAAGTCTTTTACAAATGTTTAAACTTTGTTTTAAGACTTAAGCTTTGAAGTTGAGTAAAGAGTAAGAGTAAAGTCTTTTATAAACGTTTTGACTTCGTTTTAAGACTAAAAGTTTCAAGTTAAGCAAATAGTAAAGAGTTGAGTTCATTTCTCAAAAGTTATTAGGGAACTAAGTATTCCCAAAGAAGTTTATAAATGTTTCCACATTTGAGCAAGAAAAGGTAACATCGATTCCAAGAGAGCCTTTGGGCTAAGCTTTGAGCAATTATCTTTAACTAAAGAAAGAGGAGTTTAAAACACATATGAGCTAAATTATATTTTGGGAGTAGTGGGCTAAGCTTTGACCAATTATCTCAAACTAAAGAAAGAGGTATTTAAAACACATATGAGCTAAAGTATATTTTGGGAGTAGTATT